CGCATCCTCCCCGCTACTGACCCTGGTGAGCTCACATCTGGAGTGCTGTGTCCAGTGCTGGGCTCCTCAGTACAAGAAAGACAAGGAGCTGCTGGAGAGGGTCCAGTGGAGGACCACAAGGATGCTCAGGGGTCTGGAGCATCTCTTATGACGAGAGAGTGTGGGAGCTGGGCCTGTTTAGAGAAGAGAAATCTGAGAGGGGATCTCATTAGTGCAGATCAGTATCTCAAAGGTGGGTGCCAGGAGGATGGTGCCAGACTCTTTTCAGTGGTGCCCAGCGGCAGGATGAGGAGCAGCGGCCATAAACTAAAACACAAGAAGCTTCACCTCAACGTGAGGAAGAACTTCTTTACATTGAGGGTAGCAGAGCACTGGAACAGGCTGCCCAGGGGTTTGTCTCCTCTGGAGACATTCAAAACCTGCCTAGATTAGTTCATGTGTAACCTGCTCTAGGTGGCCCTACCTTGGCAGAGGTGTTGGACTAGATGATCTCCAGAGGTCCCTTCCAACCCTAATGATTCTGTGATGCTGTCTGTAGAATTAACTAGCATAGAACCAAATCTAGAACTGGTGAAAATAAGTCTAGTCTGTTGACTTCTTTGGACTGGTTGAATTGCAGCAGATAGCGTTTTGATCCATCTTGTCTCAGGTGTGGAAATGTGTCTCAAGTCAGTGGAAGGATATCTTCACCTTATCTCTGACACCACCTTGGCTTTGTACTTGTCATGCTTATGCTAGAGTCATCATGGTTGCAGAGCAATATAGCAGTTCCCAGTTAACGAACAGGACAGGTTGTCCATCTGATACAGCATCCTGACACATATATAAACCATAAAATTAAGTGGAAGGAGCTAATGACTTTTTTTAAGAGACGTGAGATGAGTGTAGTAAGAGTTCAAATTTCTTCATTAGGAAACATAATTTCTGGCTTTTCTAGAGCTTTACAAATGAAATGTAAACCATAAATTCTTAGCTAGTCAAAGAGCTGAGAATGAAATAGTCTATCTTGGTGTATTAAGCAATACTGAAGTACGCCACCTGAAGTCTTTCCTAAATGCTTTCGCAGAACTAACTTACCAGACAGGTTTTGATAGATCCATTTACATGACACAGACATCTGAAATCAAGGAGAGCCCACTGAAAAAATTTAGTAAATATTTTTATTAACGTCATTTGATGTACCTTATTCATTGGCTGAACAATGACTGCTGACAGAATGGGCTGTACTTGTGCTTTGAAGTTAGGCCAAGTCCAAAGTATGAAGAGTCAACAAATCTATCTGGAGATACACTGTATTAGTATTTCCAGTGTGGTTTTAGCTTCTTTGCTTTCTCTTTCTCACCAGTTTAGCTGAGTGGCTGTCTCTGACAAAACTAAAAAATCAAGACGACATTTGACTTAGACACCACAAATCTGTAAGCACGGATTTTGAGTAGTTTAAAAGCATAAGATGATATACTGACTGGAAAAGAGAATGGGAGCCAAGATACTAGTTTGGTTGGGTTTTTTTTCCTTGATTATTGCTAGTTTTATTATTACTTTGACCTCTGTATCTGTTTCCTCATCTGAGTAATGTAAAAGTAAGGTGCCACTCTCTCCACGTACAGATTTAATAATTTATGCTCAGTCTATCACTCATTCCCCCGAAGACTTCAGATGAAGCGAAAAGACTTCAGTCCAAGTGAAAAGTAATTTTCCATTTATATATGAACTATTATACATAAATACAAGTAGACTAGAAATTAGCTGCTTCAGGCTGTTCATAGTAAGAGATTAGTTATTTTAATGTTTAAAAGTTAAGCCTGTAGATTTATGTGACTAGGAGTGGTTGTTTTAGGGTTGTGTTGTTGCCAAGTGAAAGCTCTTCAAATGGGAGAGAGCTGACAGTGTCACTGAACTTGCACGCAGAAGCCCGTACATTGACTTACCTGCATGTTGCCAGAAACTACTAATGAGGTAGTATTGAATTTCTCTTAACAATGTTTCCTATAGTTATACTGAAAGCTTAGTTTCAGAAATTAGACCTCTAAATGAGTTGATACTTACGGCACCATTGTTTCTGGACAATGACACTCTGTAGAATTTTCCTAACTGGTATCATCAGTAGTCCTTTACAGCATTAACAATGTGCATTTTCAGCCATAATCTGGTTAGGCCTTACTGTCTTGATCTGAATAGTTCTAGGCAAAGACTATCAAAATAGTTTACCAGATTCTTGGAGAATTCTCATTTTTTGTTGACAAAAGGTGACTTGAGCAGTTAAAAAAAAAAAAAGAAAAGAAGAAATAAAATCCAGGTTTCTGCTTATTAATTTACCACCTTCATCAACAAACACAGAACCCGATTCTTCTGCGTAAAATGTAGATGGCTGCTACCATTTGATGATATGCTTTAGGGCATTATGCTTTGTTCCAGGTACAGCTCTCCAGGGATGTAAATGTTCTGTACCATACGTATGGGATCAATGTAAATGCCTGCATGTATCTGAAATGACACCCAATGTTGCGTTTTGGCAACTACAGGAAACTACATTGCATCTCTGTCAGATTGGAAAACTTCTTTCCATTCTCCATTATTTTTCCAATGTGCTTTTAGTGAACCACCTCACTAACAGTTCAGATCTGAACTATTACACCTTCCTGTCATTTTGACTGTCAAAATACTTACCCGCTTTATAATCAAAAGCAGAACAACAAGAAAAAGTAAAAATGCCAGCTATAATGGGGAAAACATATTGTCTGTAATGCAGCTTAAAATGTTTATAGATCTATATATCATGTAAATTTAATTCTGATTTGGTGCAAGAATATGCCTATCACCATTCAAGTGAAGCAAGTAAACAGGAATATTACTGCTTCTGTGTTTTCTTTTTATGTTACCCACATAAAATAGTGATGTGTATATAATCTGTTGTTAGTGGGTTTGTATCTATCTTGTACAGCTGTGAATCAGTGTAGCTTGACAAGTGCCTGTTTGTAATCATTCAAACCTAGTATCTCTTTCAGAGCTGCTTTTTGTTTTTTTCCATTCATTTTAATAGGTTGATAAAGATGCATTGGATATCCAGGTCAAGGAGAGGAAAATTCAAGAAGCAGCTGAAAAAGCACGAAATGAAGAACTTGGTATATTCATAGATAGTATGATATTTCTGTGAATTGATAAATGTAATGTGCCATCTATTTCCTGCTTTCGTTTTGCCTTCATATGTTTCCAGCTACCATATTTATTTCCAAATGGAGCCTTTCTCCTTGAATCTTGCTATATCAATAAAAAAAAAGAAATATATAGATATAAAAGCAAGTTTGTGGGCTTTTCTCTAAATTCAGACATACAAAGTGAATTCTATAATTTGTAGTCCTGTTAAAGTTCATATGTTTGAATTGGTAAGGTGTGTGTTTTCCTCAGTATCTTGAGATTTATACTGAGATGATTGAACTGACATACATTTCCTTATAGGCTGGAATTTTCAGTGTTTTGTTTTAAAACACTAACGATTGACAAATAACATTGTTTAGAGGCCTGAAGATATGGGAGGATTAAAAAAACCCTACTGTTCTCAGACAAGTAGTGGCCAGTTTGATTGCTTTCTTATAGCATAAGTCCGTGTTCTGTGTGGCCATTCTTCAGCAGAATTTACAGATTCTGTAGAATCCTCTATAGATTATTCTTGCAAGAAGTCATGTACAACAGAGCTCTATGTAGGAGCCATTGCTGGGTCAGAACACATAGATATGCAAATATTTCATCCATGTCCCCTGACCTTAAAACCCTTTGGGCCTCCCTGTGTTTAGAATGCTTTCCTGGGATATCATGTGAAAAGGTCCCACAGACTGAGCCCTCTGTGGGTTCCAAAAAGAGCTAGAATGGGGCTGCCAATTTCCATGCTGTACTTCTAGGGCTGCTTGTAATTTTCCTGGCAGAATACCTGTCAGACTGACTCCTAGGAAACTGCCAGAAGCAATGTGTAGTCTGTCAACAGAGGAAATGATCTTTTCTTGTGAAATATATTTAAGTGGCTAAAATGGCTAGTTTGGGGTGGGGGATGCTGTTTTTCTTTAAAACTAAATTATATTGATTAAATGGGCAATAGCTATTAAGCTGTTCAAAAAATATTAGTGCCTGCTAATTATTTTAGTGCTAGTTAAAAAAATTATTTGAACTGTGAAACAACTACTTGCATTCCTTTCATTGGGAGCCCAAACTTTGTTTCGTACTAAGCAACTTACTGTATTTCAGTTGTGACCATAAACTAAAAGTAAATGGGAAGAATTAGTATACAGTATGTTTCATGAGTTACTACAAGTTTTAGTCAAATGAAACCTCACAGTTCTAGAAATATTTATTTTCCTCTTTGTTTCACATGCGTATATTTCATTGTAGCATTAATAAGAGAATTGATACCTCAAAAACTGGAAGTATTTTAAAAGTAAATATTACTAACATTAGATTGTTTGCTGGGCTGGTACTCATAAATGAAATACTTTTTCCTAAGGTATAAAAGTCTAAAGGCTTAGATACTATTTATTCCTCTTCAAAATTTTATTTTCAATTTTACATGTACACTTCTAAGAGTTGTGTTTTCATTGTGTTTGTTTTTCTCTAGCTAATGAAATGAAGCAAAATGACAAGATCATGTGTATGTTAGAAGAACGACATAAAAATGATATCAGAAACATAAATAAGGCAGTCAGTGAGTTTCAGAAGAATTTTCAGAAGCCAGAAATGAGGCGTGAATTTGACCTGTATGATCCACAAGCCCTAAAGAAGGACAAACCTGCTCGAGTTTCAGACGATGATCCTCGATGTACTGTATCAGGCTTGCAGAAGTTTTTGGGTGAAGATTTAAACTATGATCAGAGGATGAAATTTCAAAAGGAGCAGTTAAGAGAGTGGTCTCTTCAGCAACAGAAAGACTTGAAGAATGCATTAGCTGATCAAAAATTTGCAGGTAACGAAGATAATGAGGTTTTATTCTCCTTTTTCTGAAATTCTAATGTATCTGACAAAAACATGGTATAGCCTGTTGTGTCAGTCTGACGTAGCAGTATTTTAGTATATTCGCTGTATAACTTTTGGAAATACTGCAGCAGTTTTTACTTCACGAGCTCTAATGTATTCAGTTATCTCACTTAAGAAATCTATATTTAATAACATGTGATTGTAATAATACCTAGGTTTCATTTCTGTTTCATGCCTCAAATGATGGATTGGAGCATGCTGAAAAATCATGTATGTTTTGCATGCCAGATGGTATGTTTACTTCATCAGACCAAATTGTCCAATCTTTACTATTCTAGAGCAGACCAAATAATACCAAATTTTCTTTTCTAGCTTGTCATGAAATATTTTTTTCTTACCATACTTTTTCATTTTAACTTTGTATAACTGTTAAGACAAGATGGGTTACTGTCCTGGGTTCAGCTACAGCA